CCCCCCCCCCCCCCAGTGCACAAATTTTTGTGCACCGGGCCTCTAGTATGCATATAAGTTCTTTGGTTAATCTCTTGCCTCCCTCCCCCACCCCTCTTCCCTCTGAGATTCATCAATCTGTTCTATGTTTCCATGCCTCTGGTTCTATTTTATTCATCAGTTTATTTTCTTCATTAGATTCCTTGTTCATTTTTTTATTTTAGATTTAATTATTGATAGATATGTATTTTATTCATATCTCTTCTTCTTCAACTGCTTTTCTGTTGCTGCTTTTAAGATTCTCTCTTTGTCTTTAACCTTTGGCATTTTAATTACGATGTGTCTTGGTGTAGGCCTCTTTGGGTTCCTCTTGTTTGGGACTCTGCATGCTTCCTGAACTTGTTAATCTATTTCTTTCACTAGGTAGGGGAAGTTTTCTGTCATTATTTCTTCAAATAGGTTTTCAATATCTTGCTCTGTCTCTTCTCCTGTCACCCCCAGTAATGCGAATGTTGATACACTTGAAGTTGTTCCCAAGGCTCCTTACACTATCTTCATATTTTTGGATTATTGTTTCTTTTTGCTCTTCTGCTTAGGTGTTTTTTGCTTCCTCATATTCCAAATCCTTTATTTGATTCTCAGACTCTTCTCCTCTACTGACGAATCCCTATAAATCATTCTTTATTTCAGTTAGTGTATCCTTCATTTCTGACTGGTTCTTTTCTATGTCATTGATGTTCTCCCTAAGTTCCTTGAAGTTGTCACTAAGTTCCTTGAAGCTCTCATTAAGATCCTTGAGCAACCTTATAACCATTGTTTTGAACAATATCAAAGTATCTAGTAGTTTGCTTGCTACTTTTAGTTCTTTTTCTGAAGATTTCCTCTGTTCTTTCATTTGTGACATGTTTCTTTGTCTCTGCATTTTGGTTGCTTCCTTGTGTTTGTTTCTATGTATCAGGTAGAGCTGCTATGTCTCCTGGGATTGGTAGAGTGGCCTTGTGTAGTAGGTGTCCTGTAGGGCCCAGTGGCTCAGCCTCCCCAGTCACCTGAGCTGGGCACTCTATGTGCACCTCTGTGTGGGCTGTGTGCACAGTCATGTTGTAGTTGAGCCTTAATTGCTGTTGGCGTCACTGAGAGGAATTGACCTCTAGACCAATTAACTGTGAGGACCAGCTGTGACTACAGTGGAAGAGCTGCCATCCAGAAAACACCCCTACAGAGCAGGACTTGCTTCAGTGGGGCTTTAGGGCTCGCTGAGTCTGCCCCTGAGTGTGTCACTTATGGATGTGTAGAGTTGTAATCTGGTATGGTCTGAAGTTGTCCATTGGGTGTACTGGCTCTGATGCCTCCCGGGAGGTGTAAAGTCAGCCCCTGCCTGGGGTAACCCGGCAGGAGCCACAGACGTATAGATGGCCACCACTTATTGATAGATATGGGGCATGCTGATGCCAGCTGCTGCTTTCTTGAGAGATTTTAGGAAAGTGTGAAGCCTAAGCCAGGACAGGCCAATTATATGAAAAGACCACTGCAAACAGCTTGGATAGGGCTGCAAATTGGATGGGTCTCAGTGAATCACCAGGTTGGAGAAACAGTGTTAGCCAGGCTGATGGAAACTCATATATGGCTGCCAGTCAGCTCTGTGTTGGGGGAGGTGTCAGCACAGTAACAGTGACCCCTTTGAGCACCCCTCTCTGGGAGAAAGTCATCCCCGAGTTCTTGCTCTGATGGATGATCTAGTTCCCCCCTTTATGTCCCTGGATCCCCCTGAGCTGTTGTCCCAGCGCTGGAGCTCAGAGAAAACTGAACTGTGTAAGTTCATGCACCAGCCCTTTAAGAGGAACTGCTTGGGTCTCCAGCAGCCTCCGTGTCACTCAGCCACAATCCCTGCTGGTTTTTACAGCCCAAAGTTACGGGGGCTCCTCTTCCCAGTTCTGGAACACTGCGCTGGGGGTTTGGTGTGAGGCTGGGACCCCTAGCTCCTCATGGGAGGCCTCCACAGCCAAGATATCCCTCTTGACTGGAAAAAAATGCCGCACGTGGGTGCTGGACCAGCCCATTCTGTGCCTCTGCCCCTCCTACTAGTCTTGGTGTGCTTTCTTCTTTATTTCTCTATTTGTGGGACTTCCATTTAGCCAGATTTCAGGCAGTTCTGAATGATGGTTGTTCTGTATTTTAGTTGTAATTTTGATGTTGTTGTGGGAGGTGGCATGTATCGCTGTTTACCTATGCCACCATCTCTATATGTCTTCTTTGGAGAAGTGTCTATTAAGGTCCTTTGACCCTTTTTAAATTGGATTGTTTGTTTTCCTTTTGTTAAGTTGTATGAGTTTTTTATATATTTTGGAAATAACCCTTTTATCAGATGTATCATTGCCAAATATGTTCTCCCATTCAGTGGGATCCCTTTTTGGTTTCTTTTGCTGTGCAGAAGCTTTTAGTTTGATGTAATCCCATTTGTTTATTTTTTCCTTTGTTTCTCTTTCCTCGGATATGTATCAGCAAACATATGGCTGTGATAGATGTGTGAGATTTTGCTACCTATGGTTTCTTCTAGGATTTTTATTATTTCATGACTTACATTTAATTCTTTTATCCATTTTGAGTTTATTCTTGAGTATAGTGTAAGTTGGTGGTCTAGTTTCATTTTTTTGCATGTACCTTTCCAATTTCCCCCTCACCATTTATTGAAGAGACTGTCTTTACTGCATTGTATCCTCTTGCCTCCTTTGTCAAATATTAATTGAGCATAATGGCTTGGGTTGATTTCTGGGTTCTCTGTTCTATTCCACTGATCTGTATGCCTGTTCTTGTGCCAGTACCAGGCTGTTTTGATTACAGTGGCTTTGTAGTATAATTTGATATCTGGTATTGTGATCCCTCCAACTTTATGCTTCTTTCTCAAGATTGTTGTGGCTATTCAGGGTCTTGTGCGAGTTAGATAGGGGAGTGTCTCAGGAAGTCAGGGTAGAGCCAGTGGAGTTCACCTGGCTAATGTAGATTCAGCTTAGGCTGTGTGCAGGGCGGGCTCAAAACAGGGAGAGTGGCGGTCGTCCCTCCAGCCCTTGCCCTGAAGTCATACAACGAAGTTTCTCCCTGTATATCTGTGGCACTCCCCGATATACTGCCCTTTCATGAAGCCCAAGTTTAGTGTCCTGTGAGTGAGAGTTTGTGCATTGGCCCTTTAAGAGGACAGCCTTCCATCTCACTCAAAGGATGGAATCCCTGCTGATTTTCACAGCCAGATGTTATGTGAGCTTCTCTTCTGGCACTGGTGTTCCAGGATAGGGACCTGGTGTGGGGCAAAAGTCCCTTGCTTCTAAGGGGGGACCTCTGCAGCTGAAATATCCCTTCAGATTCTCAATCACCACAGATGGGTGCAGGGCCAGCCTGTTTTGTGTCTCTACCCTTCCTACCAGTCTCTATGTGGCTTCTGCTTTATATCCTTAGTTATAGGATTTCTGTTCAGCTATGCTTCAGATGATTATACAGATTGATTGTTCTATAATTGGGTTGTAATTTTGATGTGGTCATGAGAGAAGGTGAGTGCAGCATCTACCTATACCACCATCTTGACCAAAACCTAAAGGACCCCTGATTTCTAAAGTGCCTTTAAAGTTTTGCTTTCAAATTTAGACTTAAATTTATTTTGCACAAGCAATGCTAACACTATAGTTTTTAATTTGTGGCATTTTTTTATTAGCTAGGTGCTACTTGCCACTGACTTTAAAATTGTAGCTTAGGGAAATTATTTGGCTAAAGAAAAACTTTTTAATCCTACTAATACCAAGGTTTTGTGTTTCAGGTCTGACTACAGCCACATATCCTCCACCAGCAGTAAGTATGGTTTAAATGCTTGTTTTCAGAATTGTTTTCACAGTCCCTCAGGCGTCAGTCCCATCTATGCATGTAGAGAAGGTCATCTGTGTTACCCTTGTTTTAATAGTAGGACTCACCAAAGGTATCCTTAACAATAATACATCCTCTAACTCCAGCAGTGGAGATTTTCTCTGGAGAATTTGTTTTTACCTTGGCTGCAGGACTAGCTATGCCACTACTTTCCCTATGGAAATTCAGCCTGGGGGAACTAGCTCAGGCTTTATTAGCACGAATGCTTCTAAAACAGCGGTTCTCAACCTGTGGGTCGCGACCCCTTTGGCAGTCGAACGACCCTTTCACAGGGGTCGCCTAAGACCATCCTGCATATCAGATATTTACATTATGATTCATAACAGTAGCAACATTACAGTTATGAAGTAGCAATGAAAATAATTTTATGGTTGGGTCACAACATGAGGAACTATATTTAAAGGGCCAGAAGGTTGAGAACCACTGTTCTAAAACATCTTCTCTGAAGAATCTGAGGTAACCCATTCATTCAACAAACATTTATCAAATACCTGCTGAAGGCTAATGGCTCAGAGCACACTTATTGGATCCATGGGGTGGCCCCAACTCATCTGTTGGGCGAATTTCCTCAGAAATCATAATTATTATAAATGCTTAAAAAATGATTGGGACTATGTCTATAAACACATTTTGAGTACAGAAAAAGTTGCCTCTGTATTAAATATTAAATCACAAGTGTGAATATATTTATGGGAAATTAGGCCTTGAACAATTTACAGTGATTAAGATCACTGTATAGAAGACCACAGTCATTCAGACTGATTAAACACTTATTTTAAAATAACAAAAAAAGATGTCTTATGGTAAAATCCTGATCTTTTTAATCAGGACAAAACAATTCAGTATTTATTATCTCACTATCCTGTTAAACTCTCAATTCTAAATAGTTCCCAATTGGAAACACACTTAATTGGGTTATTCCTTTTTACTGATGTTCTGGCTTAGCTTTCCTTTGCAATAAGAGACTGTGCAGAAAGCTGTATATCTGAAATTATGTTTAGTGTCGAATTTCATTAGTTATTAGCATGGATACAAGGAGCAATTTCTGGTTGTTTCAGCCAACTGGAGACTCAGAATTGCCCCTTAGTTATTAAGAACCATTAGTAATAATGAGAATAATGCTTCAGTGATTTGCATTTACTCCCTGAAGCTTTTGCATTCCTAACATCAGAGCATGCTCTCTTGAACTCTCAGTTTTGCCCAGAGACTATATTTTTTTAAAGAATGGTTTGTATAAAACACTTGCCCAAAGCCTTTTCTCAATTCGTAGCTCTCAAATCAGTCCTCTGGGTCACAACAAAGCACCTCTCTTGTTAGGGAAACGGGTAATTTGGTTTGGGATGTCTTCCTCTCCATTATTTTTATTGCGATCTCTGAGTTGGAATTTCTCTTAGTGCCACTGGGATCAATAGCCTTTATTACTCTTTCTTTTCTCTTTAAATATTCCATGATTTCACTCTCACTCTTCAATGTCGGGGCTCCTTGACAAATGAGGATGTATATTTATGTGTTTCATATTTTAATTAGGACATGTATCTAGCTACAGATAATAGAGAAAAATAAAGATTTAATAAATAGGAGTTTGTTTTCCTCTAATATTAAAATAAAAGAAGTCCAGAGGATGCGGTGCTGGTGTGGTATAGAAGCTCCTTCGATCATTATTCTACACCATCCTTAACTTTTGGCTTCCATCCTCAGGGTTGCCTCAGAGTCACAAAACCACTGCCTCTAGTATAGCCATCACATCCTTGTTCTGGGCAGGAAGAAGGGGTGAGTGCATACAGGTGGCCCCTGGCTGTTTTTGCCCAATATGTGGCCTGGCCTGCATTTCCTCCCAGCCAGGAACATAAATCCTGGCCACACCCATACTCAGGAGAAGGCCCCTTACACAGTCAGTGGAAGATAATAGAGCCGACACTTTCTGAAAAGAAAACAAAATTGTTTAAGTCTACAGTTTTAAATCTACCCTTTAAAACGTAAGTTCAACAGAGCTGCAATAATAAAAAGTTTCTTCCAAGTAGATTTAAAACATAGCATTTCTCACCCTGGCAGTGTAGCTCAGTTGGTTGGAGTATCGTCTCATACACCAAAAGGTTCGGTTTCCCATCAGGGCACATACCTAGGTTGTGAGTTCGATCCCTGGAGGCAACCGGTTGATGTTTCTCTCACATTGATGTCTCTCTCTCTCTTTCTCCATTCCTCTCTCTAAAAACCAATAAGCACACAGAGCATTTCTCCACAAACTATATAATCACACGCAGATGACTGGGTAGGGAGATAATTACTATGTTTAGTATCCATCCTGAATGTTTCCGTTCCAGGGTCACTCTCCCTTCACAGCTGACTTGGTGCCTGTGCCCTGTGTGACCAGTTCCCACTTGTCAGTCCTGGGAGCAGCTTCTGCATCTCATGGTCATTCCACTGTCCCCAGTCAGCCTCTCTCCACCCAGTGGCTTGTTTCTGGATAATTCCTGATTCCTGACTGGGATTTGAGCATTGGTTCTGACCATTCACTGTTAAGAAATGAATTTTTCTATGTCTGCAAGTGGTTCTTACTCAACATTCCCATGATATTGCTTTCCCCATTTGTTCCTGAGTTCACAGGGACATAAATGCTCCTTGAGGAGAGCTAGGGATAGAGTCTGTGTCCCCACAGTTGGTTTTCATCCTTACCAAAATTGCCAGAAAAGCTTCCTCCAATAACACCAGTCACTTTGTTTAGTCGTCTTTTCCTTCAGCATGCAGGGGCTGCTTCCTCATACTGCCTCCCCCTGATGGGAAAAGAAGAGAGATCATCACCAAGACTAAGTACAAGAGCAGTGGTGTAGATTTAGGGGTCCTAGGTCTTAGTCCTGGCTCCACTCTGAGTGAGCAGTGTGCTCTCAGACAAGTCAGTTACCTTCTCTGGGCATCTGTTTTCTCCTCTGTGGAATGAGGCTAGATGCTCTCTAAGGACATTTTCAGAAGCTCCAGGATGCTAAGATGTGAATGTCTTAGAAACTCCCCTAAACACAGAGAAGGAATGAAGGAAATAAAGAGAGGAGGGAAGGAGTCAAGAATTGAGGAATCTGTACCTTTTTTCTTTGTCCCCGAATAGAATCTAGGACAGTGATGGCGAACCTATGACACGCGTGTCAGAGGTGACACGCAAACTCATTTTTTTGGTTGATTTTTCTTTGTTAAATGGCATTTAAATATATAAAGTAAATATAAAAAATGTAAGTTTGTTTTACTATGGTTTCAAATATCAAAAAATTTCTATATGTGACATGGCACCAGAGTTAAGTTAGGGTTTTTCAAAATGCTGACACGCCGAGCTCAAAAGGTTTGCCATCACTAGTCTAGGATGTGCACCCTCTCCAATGGCCCTTAGCATTAATATCGAATTGAGGGCTGTTCAGACTGAACCTGAGCTTCTGTACTGTGAGTTGCTTGTAGTTGGTAGCAGTAGAGACATTATGGTGAGGGGCGGTTGCTGCTTTTTAATCTCCCTCCCCTAGAAAAAAATGGACAAGGTATGGGGTTGGGGAGGGCACATGGAGAGCCAGGCGTCCTGTTTTTCCTCAACCTCATGGATCATGGAATTGCATTACTACTGACTGTGTCTGATTTCACTTCCAACTCGGGGGTGGGGAAGTGGCTGAGGGGGCTTCTTTAATGGATGATTTGTTTTTGTGGGGGTGAATTTTTTTCTAGTTGCAACTGGTCCATTTGCCTTTTTAGATTGATGGAGCAGGCAAGTTTTTCATTTATGCTTCCTGCAAAGCTAAACACACTGTTAGCCCTCAGGAGATCTCAATAAATCATACTTCCCAAGGAAGACAAATTTAATTTAAACTCAGAATTTTAGATTGTTTGTCCAGAATCCTGATAAGAAGATCATGAAGCCACTATGTACACTTTGCATTCTTTTTTTTTTTAGTGATTTAAATAAAAAGGGGAAGTTTTATAAACAGGATAAATGGAAAACAATAATTACGCCAGGGGAATAAAATCAACTGTGCCACATAATGCTAATGAAACTACCATCACGTATGACTAACTATTTACATTCAAATAAAGATTATAGTAGTAATCATACTTGGAGAACTACTCTTAGAAGATGTTGGGAGCTTTAAAATGCTATTTTTAGGAGTATAACATTTCTTGAGGATCTCTAGCCCCAGAGCGATGCCAATAGAAAGTGGTCAAAGAGTGAACTAGTTCTCTCTGTTTGAGACTGCTATTTGCCCTCCTCATTTGTGCCCTAAAACTGTTCCATCTCAAAACTCAGCTTAGTCATTAACCGTACCTGGCCCTTATGAACTTTGGGGACAGCAGGAATGCCTTGCAGTTTTGTATCCCTTCATACTTTTCAAAGCACAAATGATAAAAAAATCCGTTGAAGTGGCAGGGCCCTTGTCATTGCCCTGAGAAATTCTCCCAGCCTGAAACTGTAGAGAAATGGCCATGAAGAGTGTGTTCTGCAAATCTGAATTCAGAAGCACCTACCAACCTGTGCCAGAAAGACACACATCATGCTGGGTGGGAGTCTCTGAATCTTCTTTAACCTGCCCGGGCTCAGATTCCTGCTTTCCTTTTTTTTTTTTTTTAAAGAAAGTTGGCTTTTGCGGGGGTAGGGAGCTCAGGAACTCTTGGTGGGGCAGGCCCACCTCCTCTTCACCATCACGGGCTTGTAACCTCACCGGATGGGGCTGGCTCTGGGGATGGAGGCCGTGCGCAGGTGACAGCGGTACTTGATCTTGCGGATCGTGTGCAGGATGCTGCCCAGTGTGGCCGGCGCCCTGGTTGATGGTGCTCCGCATTAGGAGGTGGTGGCTTTCACTGGCCCATCTCCGCCACACCTTGGCTGCTGGCCGCCGGCTCCATGCCCACAGTCTTGCGGGGAAGGAGTTACAGGCCTTGCGATGATTGGGTTCCATTGTACT